GAGAAAAAAAAAAAAAAAAAAAAAAAAAAAAAAAGAGCTAAATAAATAAATCAGATTGTTTCTTGGCTTTCTCCATTGCTGGCGTAGGATATTGCCTTCTCCACTTTTGTAAGTCATCTTGTTCCTCTTCTTTCCAATTTCTACAGTTTTGTTACTCTTTACTCCTTTTTCTTTGTTCTTGAGGGCTTCACCTTTTTTCAGCTTTAAGAAATTATAAAACCTGTAGAAAAAAATGAGATAATGTACTGTCATTTAAGTATTCTGATTCCTCAGCCCTTTTACTTAGAAGTGTTAATATATACAAATTATTCTTACCAAATCAGTTATTTTATTGAGTGTTAAAAAGCTATGTTTTTCTAACTTATTATTTGTTCTATAGTTGGTGATGTTCTCCTATAAAGGAAAGCATGCCATTAGGAATTAACTATAAATTTGACTTTTAAACAAAGTAAATTCTTGATTCTTTTGTTTTTCCAATTTGAGTATCATGGTAGACATGCTTATGCCATTTGTATATCTTCAAAGAAACATTTGGAAAATGTGTATTGAAATCTTACACCTATCTTTTATCTGCTTGTCTTATATTGTGTTGAGTTGTAATAGTTCTCTATGTATTCTATATACATGACCTTTATTCTGAGTATTATATGCAAATATTTTCTCCTAATCTGTAACATGTCCTTTAGTAGTGTCTATGGAAGAGAAATTTTTAACTTCGATGAAACCTAACTTTGGTAAAAATATTTTTATTGACCATGTGTTTGGTATCATATGTAAGGTTCTAGGTGTGCCTAACCCAGAACCAGAAAGACTTTTTCTGTGTTTTGTAATTTTGCCTCATATTTAAATCTGTAATCTATTTTGAGTTAATTTTTTTATGTATAGTGTGAGGTAAGGATCTAAACTGTTTTTGTAAAACTCTTAAAATTTTTATCTATTCATTGTTTTATACACAGTGATAGTCATTATTCTTGATGCTGAAATATGTCCATTAAGTTTGTTCCTGTGTCCTTTGGATATGTCCTCATTTTTCTCAGAATACATCTGTTTTCTCATTCTTCAGTATTTCCCATGATACATACCTGAAACCTACCATTTCTCCATATTTCTGTAGAACGCTGGTTCCTTTTAGTAAGTGGACCTGATTACTACTGCACTTTAGTGCTGATTACTACTAGGGTAACAATTGATACTAAATCTTGGTAGTAAATAGAGTAATATAGGGGCTGCGGTTTTAGCTCAGCAGCACAGCACCTGCCTGGCAAGTGCAAGGTCGTGAGTTCAATTCCCAGTACCGGAAAAAAAACAAAAAAAGAAAAAAAAAATAGAGCAATATATTAGGACTTCTAAAAAATTATGAATATATATTGGTATTTTTTCACTCAGATTTAACATTGCAAAACTTGCTTGTTTTTTATTTCTATCATTGACTTCTTGCTTTAAAAATTTTCTTTATTGTTTCTTAATGATGTTTAATGGAGAATGTTTTGAGTTGTAATAGTTATCTATGTATTTCATCTACAAGTCCTTTATCTCAGTATTATATGCAAATATTTTCTGCCATGTTTAAACTTAATCTTAGTACCCTTACGTATTCTCCATACACATTTTATTTTTGTGGGCTATGACTAGTTAATTAACTAGATGTAAGAACTGAGGAGAAAAAGGAACAAAAAACCTGCAAAACTTTGGTAGAGAAAGCAGCTCTCTGAAATTCACTTGACTAAACATAAAGATTTTCTCTTCCTTTCCCCCTTTTGTTATTACTTTATAGTTTAGAATGGTCAGCCATCATTGTGGATGAAGCTCATAGAATCAAGAATCCAAAGGCGAGAGTAACAGAAGCCATGAAAGCTTTGAAGTGTAATGTCCGCATTGGCCTCACAGGGACCATCCTTCAGAACAACATGAAGGAACTCTGGTGTGTTATGGACTGGTGAGTGAAAACACTGGCTTTACTCTTTTTTTTTTTTTTTAGATTACCGAATACATAATTCTTTAGCTTAATGCTACCTTGTTTGCTAATTGTTAGTTTCCGAAAACAAAAACAAAACACTCATTTAACTGTTTGCAGAAATATTTGATACCAAGTAGAGAGTCCCATGAAAACCTGTCTTTATGTAGTTTGGTCCCTGAAGTAAATATACTTGCTGACTTGCCAATTCCATCATCATCTTTATAAGCTTAAACTCTCATAAAGAAAAAACATTCTATTTTCTTGACTTTTGATTTTGCTCGTAATAAACAAGTGACTTGAGTATATTTCTTGAAGCTAAAAGAATTGAATGTTTTTCTTTTTACCTAATAAAACCCTCACATTTTTCATACTGCTTTTATATAGGGCTGTGCCAGGACTTTTAGGTAGCAGGATCCACTTCCAGAAGCAGTTTTCTGACCCAGTAGAGCATGGTCAGAGGCACACGGCAACAAAAAGAGAACTAGCCACTGGCCGAAGGGCCATGCGAAGGCTTGCAGCACGGATGTCTGGCTGGCTTCTCAGGCGCACCAAGACTCTCATCAGTGACCAGTTACCAAAGAAAGAAGATCGGGTAAGAACTACATTTGTGTGTATGGTTAATTTTTTGTCATATTTTATTATTTTTTTCAGAAAAACTCCTTTTTAAGAGGAAATCTGTCTCTGATACTTTGTAATGTAATTTTGTGCCTTTTATTTTTGTGAAAAAAATTGTTACATGCAAAATTTCAGAAAACATTGTTAGCCCAGTTGTATTCTTTACTAACTTTATTAATCTATTAGCTAACAGGTTTATTGTTAGTATATGTATTAATCACCTTTTGGTTGCTGTAACAAATATATAAATCTTAATACCTTAATGAATACTTAATATCTAAATCAGTTTAAAAAGAGGAAAGATTTATGTTGGCTCATGGCATAAGAAGTTTCAGTCTGTGGTCTCTTGGCTCTGTTACTCATTAGGGCCATCCTTCAAAACAATAGGAAGGAACTCTGGTGTGTTATGGACTGGTGGTGAGCAGTCCATGATCCTGCCTGTGGTGAGCAGAACATCATGATAGGGAACACGTGGTAGAACAAAGCTGCTGATTTCATGGCAGCCAGGAAGAAAAAAGAGACAGGAAGAGGCCAAGTTCCCAATATCTCCCTTAAGAGCTTGCCCTCAATGTCCTTTCTTCTGTGAGGCTTTACCTCCTGAAAGTTCTATTTCTTCCCAGTAGTGCCACAAGCTTGGGACCAGGCCTTTGGCATATGGCCCTTTTTAGATGCATTTAACAGCCAAACATAACAACATATATTAGACTCATTTCTTAAAGCTTTTGATATAATTCTTTCTCAAGGAAATAGGAAGGACTTCTTTCCCTAATGTGTTTTCTGTTTACACTTTGTCTTTTCTTCTATCTTCTCCTTTTCTTCCATCTCTTCTTTGTCTTTTCTTCCATCTATGACCCATTATATTCCTTGGTACCTTAAATCTATTTATAGGACCAAAGTGGTTAAGAGTTTGATTTCTAGATTTGTTTTATTTACAGTGATATTTACAGTTATACAATTAACTTAAGTTTTTGAATTTGTGGAAAAACAGTGATTAATTGCTTAAGAAAATTTGGGTTGACTTTAATAGGATTTTTAAAAATATAATAGTCACTTATTTATGGAGCTCAAACCCAGGGCCTCATGCATGGTAGGCAAGCACTTAACCACTGAGCCACACTCCTAATCTTTCCTTCGTAGTTTTTAATTCTGAGATTCTTCTAGCTAATGCAATGGAATAATGTGAAGTAAATCTAATTAATGTTTTCCCAAATAAAGGTAATCCTATCAAATAAAGGTACCTTATCAAAGGTAATTACCTATCAAGGTAATCCTATCAATCCTATGCCCTCTAATTTAGGATATCCTGTGGATTATTACTTTAAAAAGAGATTCGATATTGATATGATATGCAAGTTAGGGAAATTGATAGTATAGATGACATTTGATATTTAAAGCAAATGAGATAGCTCCTGAATCCATACTTTTTAAAATGTTTTACACAGTTGTATATATATTATATAGGTATTTAGTGGGAGCAAGAAAAATATGAATATCTGAAGAGAATTGTGCATAGAATTTTAAAACCTGAGCTTTGAGATCAAATACTATGAGCTTGAATCTTGGCTCCTCCACTTAAAAGTTTTGTAACTTGAAGCAGTTTGCTGATTGTCAAGCATGGGTATCTTCATTTGTTAGATGGAAATGAGCTGCCTCACTTGACCGCTCTGAAATTCATGATACATGAGAGATACTTAGTAAATGTTAAAATGTTTAACAACAGCAACTCAAAACACCCTCCTTACATTAATCAGTGATATCATCTTATACAATTTCTTTTTGTTCTTGTATGTACTTTTACATTCAAGATTGAGGATCAGGATAATATACTTTATGTGTACATATTTAAATCTAGTATCATTTTAGATAGAAATCCTTAGATTTGTTCAATGCTCATTTGTCATTGTTTGCAATAATATTCTTTGCAGTAGCATATAAATACTTACAAATAAATGACTTATTTCTTGTTCACATTCTTCAAAGCCCTATCATAGGCATGTTTAGTTTTATGGCTCTAGTTACAAATAGTTGCATTATTAATTTATAGTATTATAAAAAATACAAGATAAATTGTCATAGTTTAGCGGCATTGTTCTATCAAATTTTCTCCTTATTTTGAATTTGGACATAAAATATCAACTTGTATTTGCTTTTATGTACATTTTATTAATCATTATCTTTACTAATCTTGGGAATTTATAGCAAGATATGAAACATAAGTAACTTTATTTTTAGTTTTCAATAGTAGGGAGTTTTCCAGCCATTTCAGTAAGCATTTATTGTTTAAACCATTATTCTGAATTATTCTGTTTTTCCTTATCAATCTTTTTGTAAACTTTGATCATTTATTTGCATGCTGGATTAATAGAAGCTTTTGAAGACCCACAGCATAGTGAGAAATAAATAAGGAAGTGATTAACTTTTTAAATATTTTCTTTTAATTAAAAACAAAAAGTATGAGATTATTTGAAAATTAAGTTATAATTTGTATAGTCTAGAGTGAAGTGGAAAGCAAGAAGTATAAGAGAATTGGGAAAAATTATCATAATGTAACTAGAGGGAAAAATAATTTATGAACAATTTTCAATATTACAGTCTATTAAATCCTACGTACATTGTGATTATTATTCTTACTGCTACAAAAGATGATACTAGTTATTGCCTTGTATTTTATCTTGCCAGATGGTTTATTGCTCTCTGACAGATTTTCAGAAAGCTGTCTATCAAACGGTATTAGAAACAGAAGATGTGACTTTGATACTTCAGTCTTCTAAGCCTTGTACCTGTAACAGTGGCCGGAAAAGGAGAAACTGTTGTTATAAGGCAAGCATTTCAGTTTATCTTTACCATCTTGTGATATATTTCATTATGAAAACAATAACACAGTGTTCTCTTATTCTTTTCTTTTGGTTACAGACTAATTCACATGGTGAAACAGTGAAAACCTTGTATTTCAGCTACCTTACAGTCCTTCAGAAGGTAGCGAACCATGTTGCACTGCTGCAGGCCACTAGCACCTCCAGACAACAGGTGTGGGTTGGCTTTCTACATTTCTTTGTAAGACTACTGGTGTATAACTGATATTTGGTATGAAAATTTTCAATTAAAGATCTGAGGTTTTTTTGTATGAAATTTAAGAAGAAACTAACTTCCTGATTTAAAAATTTAAATCCCTGAGGTCCTGGGGATGTGGTGTAGTGTTAGAGGAGGTCCTAGATTTGATCTCCAGAACAATAAATAAGTAAATAAATAAAAATTTAGATATTAAGGAATATGTAGAGTTATATTTTTAAACTGAAAAAACTTAAACTTAATAACTTTTTCATCTGCTCTTAATAATGTTCACATATTTATTTTCCCTAGTAGTCTTATTTCAGTAAATAGGTATCTAATTTCATTTATCTAATCTGGTTAAAAAGAGGTCCTATAGTAACCTATATATTAAATATTAAATCTGTTTCCCAAGCTGGCAAAAATCATAATTTCAAAGTTTAGTTTTAAATATAATCATTTACTTGGGTAATTTTAATTTACTTGGATAAATTTAATCTTATTTAGAGTACAACCTAATGTAATGTTTTTATATTTTTTGTGGCATAGTCAATTCTGTTTAAGTGAAATCTAATAAGACTTTAATATTATTTTTTGATAGTAGCCTTTACTCTCTTGGGAGTATTTGCCCTCATTTTGGAAACCTTGGAAAAATAATTAAGCTGGTAGCCTTATCATTAAGAATTCATCAAGCCAGTTGTGTTTAACATATCACTTAAAGATTTTCTGAATTATTAATCTGATTTAGAGAAGGCTGCATCTTCTAAGTAACATGGGTTTTTTTTTAATAAGTGGTTTCAATTTTTTTTTAATAAGTGGTTTAAGTTTGTTAAATTGAAATCTCTTTTCTTCTCCTTTCCTCCTCAAGGAAACACTTATCAAAAGGATATGTGATCAAGTATTTTCCAGATTCCCAGATTTTGTTCAGAAGAGCAAAGATGCAGCCTTTGAAACACTTTCCGATCCTAAATACAGTGGAAAAATGAAGGTAAGTGCTCTTTTTTTTTCAGGGTTCGTACAGAGCAATGCTATATAGAGTATTCAGAGGTGTGGCTGGATATCAGCTCATCCAAACAGGTGCCCAGATATTGAGACAAGGTGGTAGCTGTGAAGAGCTGGTGTTGCTGATGTCAGCACTTACTAATTCCCTCTGAAGCCTGGGTACAGTTGTGTTCACAGTCGGTTTTCCGTAGCAGTTGTCTGAAGTGTATTTCAAACTTTCCTTATTAATATGTATTGAGTTTATGCCCTCTTATAATGCATGCTGTTTTCTTATTAGTAATAACTTGTCCTTAAGAAAGGAGATTTAAATGCTAATACTATTCGGGTAAGGATAAGGCATGAGCCTGCCGTTAGAAAAAGGAACTTCTTGTAGAGCTAAAGTGGCAAAGCCTCCTTTCTACACTGACATTTTCTACCTCTTGCTTTTCCTTGCTGCAAGGTTGTAAGTTTGCAAGGAACAGTCCTTATACACAGGGAAAGTGACCTGTAGTTGTGCTGCTTTTGGCACTTGTTAGTGAAGAGGGGTCTGAAAAGGCTAGGTTCTCCAGCTGTGACCCAGGCCTCTGGGTGTTACAGATGACAGCAGCTAGCAGCCTTTTGCCTTCTTGCAACAAAGTGAGTTAGCTTAGTCCCTTAACAGCCATCTGGAATCTTTATTTATGGGTTCACAGATTTTTACATAACAGTTCTCAACTTTATGTTATAATTTTTAAAAACGTTATTTTTTTTGGCAAAAGGAATAAAAAAGAAGTGCAGTAATTCAAAGTAGTCAGTTTTGTTTTTTCTGGAAGTACTTTTAGTATTTAATCTAGATAAGCTTATCACAACCTCTAAGTTCATTGAAATAAAAGAGGAGGTAGGAGTATAAGTAGTCAAGAAGACTAGATTAAAATTTTGTATTTTTTGTATTTATGTTTGCTATACATATTGATCAATAAGATACTGGCAAACAGAATACAACAAATCCTTAAAAGATTATACATCATGGCCAAGTAGGCTTCATCCCAGGGATGCGAGGGTGTTCAACATACATAAATCAATAAATGTAATACACCACAAAAATAGAAACAAAGACAAAAATCACATTATCACTTCAGTAGATCCAGAAAAACCTTTGACAAGATCCAGTATTTATTCATGATAAAAAAAAAAAAAAGTATGGAAGGACTTTATTTCAGTATGATAAAAGCCATGTTTGAAAAACACACTGCCAACATCAAATTAAATACGGAAAACCTGACAGCTTTCCTCTAAAATCAGGAGTAAGACAAAGATGTCCACTATCACCACTCCTGTTCAGTGTAGTACTTGAAACATTAGCCAGAGCAATCAGATAACAGAAATCAAAGGATTTGTACTGGAAAGAAAAAGATCAAATTATTATTATTATTTGCATCGACATTATCCTTTCCATACAAGACCCAAAAAATCCATCAAAAGATTCCTGGAATAACCAAAATCAGGAATTTAGCAGGATACAAAATTAACACGCAAAAATCAGTAACATTCCCTTACACCAATAATAAACTCACTGAGAAAGATATTAGGAATAAAATAGTGTTTACGGTAGCATCAAAAATGAAATACTTTGGAATTTACCTCATCAAGAAAGTAAAAGACCTCTACAATGAAAGCAGGAGGCATTACAATCCTGGATTTCAAGTTACATTACAAAGCTAACATGATAAAAAACAGCATGATACTGGCACAAAAACAGACATGTGGATCAATGGAACAGCATAGAGAACACAGAACAGAAACAACCATAGGCATATTCACTCATGAACTTTGACTAAGTGGCAAAAAGTGGGCACTGAAGGAAAGATAGCCTCTTTAGCAAATGGTGCCAGGAAAACTGACATAAGATTGAATCTAGACACATATCTTTTAACAGGCACTAAAATAAAATCAAAATGGATTCAAGAGCTGGATATTAAAACAGAAACACTTCATCAGCTAGAAACAGGTAAAATTCTTGAAGCCATAGGCATAGGTAAATGCTTTCTGAACAGAACCCCAGTTGCACATGAAATAAATCAAGAATCAACAAGTAGTATTTTATCAAGTTAAAAAGCTTCTGCACAGGAAAGGAAATGACCAATAGAGTGAAGATATAAACTACAGAATGGGAAAAACCTGTTGCCAGCTATTCCTCTAATAGAAGACTAATATCTAGAAGACTAATATATAAAGAACTAAAAAAAATTAAACACCTCAAAATAAAAGACCCAATCAAAAAATTGGCAATGATATGAATAGACATTTCTCAGAAGTACACATGAACATATGAAGAAATGTCCAACATCACTGGTCATGAGAGAAATTAAAATTAAAACACAGAGATTACATCTTTTTTTTTATTTTAAAAATAAAAGGAGGAAAACATTAACAGACAGACAACCTTTTACAAAATAGCAAAAGAATGGTACAGATAATACAGAGTTACAAACAAAGTGGTAGGAAATTAACAATGCTTGTTGTATTATATATTGATATTGAGATTCCATCTTACTCCAGAAAGAGTATCATGTATCGTTTTTGTTGTTTTTGTGTTGTTTTGATTCTTTCTTCATTGTTGTTGTTTTTTTAAAATGTGAAAGAAAAAGAATGGCTATTATTAGAGATCAATTAATAACAAATGTTGATGAGCCTGCAGGGAAAAAAGAACCCTTCTACACTATATTGAACAGGAGTGATGATAGTGGATATCCTTGTCTTACTCCTGATTTTAGAGGGAAAGCTTTCAGGTTTTCCCTATTTAATATGTTGGCAGTGTGTTTGTCATACATGGCTTTTATCATATTGAGATACAGTCCTTCTGTACTTACTTTCATTGAGTTGTTTTATCATGAATGAATATTGGATTTTGTCAAAGGCTTTTCTGCATCTGTTGAGGTGATCATGTGATTTTTGTCCTTGTTTCTATTTTTGTGTATGTTGAGCCACCCTTGTATCCCTGGGATGAAGCCTACTTGGCCATGATGTATAATCTTTTAAGGATTTGTCATACTTTGTTTGTCAGTATCTTGTTGAAGATTTTTGTGTCTATGTTCATTAAATATATCGGTCTGTAGTTTTCTTTTTTACTTGGGTCCTTGTTTGGTATTGGAATGAAGGTAATGCCACTAGGAAAAGAATTTAGAAGTATTCCTTCCCTTTCAATTTCATTAAAATGTTTTAAAAATATTGGGATTATATCATACCTGACGTTCTTACAGAATTCAGCAGTGAGTTTATTGGTCCTAGGCTGTTTTTACTTGGTAAGTTTTTTATTACTGTCTCAATTTCATTGCCTGTTATTGGACTATTTGGAATTTTTATGTCTTGTTTGGTCAGTTTCAGTAATTTATTAGTATCTTTGAATCTACCTGTCTTTTCTAGATTCTCTCAGCTGTTTAGAGTATAGGCTTTCAGATACTGATAATATTCTGGATTTCAGTATTGTCTGTTGTCATTTTGCCTTTTGCATTTCTCGTTACATTGATATGGGTCTTTTCTTGCCTGCTTTTGGTAAGTTTGGCTAAGGGTTTGTCTATTTTGTTTATTGTTTTGAAGAGCCATTCTTTCATTCATTGATATTTTTGGCATTATTTTCTTACTCTTAATTTCATTAATTTCTGCTCCAACCTTTATATTTTTTTTCTCCATGTTACTAGCTGGGTTTGATTGTTCTTGGTTTTTTAGGGACTTGAGGTATATCATTTGGTTATTTTGTGGGGCTCAGTCTGTTTTTCTAGTGTGGGCATTCACAGCAATAAACTTTCCTCTTAGGACTGCTTTCAATATGTCCCATAGGTTCTGATATGTTGTACTGGCACTATCATTTGATTCTAAGAATCATTTAATTTCTTCCTTGTTACCCATTGATTATTCAAGGATATATTATTTAATCTCTGTCTATTTGGAAAAAAAATTTGGGGGGGACATTGATTTCTAGTTCATTGCATAGTTCATTGTATGGTCTGATAGTATACATGGGATAATTTTCATCCTTTCGATGTATTTAAACAGCTTTGTGAGCTAGTATGTGGTCTATTTTGGAGGAAGTTCTATATGCTGTTGAGCAGAATGTGTATTCTGTTGTTCTAGGATGGAACACTGTAGATAGCTATTATCTGTAGATATCTATTATTTGTTTGAAGATTTGGTCAACTTTATTTTTTTCTTTTTTTTTTTTTTTTTTTTTTGGTTTTTTTGAGACAGGGTCTCACTATGCAGTTCAGGTTGGTTTTTCTCCTGTACCGGGAACTGAACTCAC